TCCTTAAAGGAAGTAACGCCTGGGCTTTGTAAGCGTTGCATGCTACATTTCGAGCATTTGTGTGTCCCTCTGTAGTTCCGTGAAATACTATTAAGAGATGGGACCTGTGGGTGGCGATCAGGCCATCAGGCTCCTTTCTAGGAGGAGGATGGCCACGGGAGGATGGCAACTGTAAAAGGAGAGGCCAGGCGTGGTGGCGCACGCCTTTAATCCCAGCACTCGGGAGGCAGAGGCAAGCGGTTGAGTTCGAGGCCAACCTGGGCTACAGAGTGACTTCCAAGACAGCCAGAGATATACAAAGAAACCCTATCTCAAAGAAAAAAAAAAGGGGGGGGATAAATTCTCCTTGGGGAAGGAAGAATTTGCCGAACTCAGGGAAAAGCTTGCAGAGGTGGTTTGGTCAGCCTGGATCAAGGAAACTCCCACAAGCCATGAGGCAAAAATATCTTCATGCAGACTTGCTCTGTATAAACAGCATGAGAAGGAACACGTGACTGTTTGTTCAACTTCACTGAGCTCTCGGAAAAAGTCTCTAAAGACGGAGGACTGCTTCTCCAAAGAAAAAGTCAAGGTTTGAAGTATTGTCCAAAGTAATGACCCTCACTGTGCCCTGGAGCCAGATTATGTCCCTCCCAAAGGCGCTAGTGCTCCCCAAGACCCCACCTGCCTCCTTTCTGTTTGCTCTTAAATCAGTCAAAGACCAAAAACGAACACCCAAGCTTGTCTATTAGAGATGCTGGGGGTAAAATCTGAATGGCCAGAGAAAACCACAAGAGTAGGAAGCAGCCAGACTAGAGGAGAAACATGAAGACTGCGTGCCAAAGGCAAAAGTGAAGCAGCAGGAAGAACCAGCCCTGAGTAAGGAGTCAGAAGAGGGTGAAGGATGACGGCCCTGTGACGAGTGTGTGTGTTCAGGAAGCTAGCTGTTTTCCTAAGAACGGGGCATTCAAGTGTAGCTCAACATTAGCTTCAGTGTAAAAACTACAGACTTTTGTATGGCTGGTGAGATTTAAGAAACCTTGTTGGGGGTGTATGTGTGTGAAGAGATGGTTCAGTGGTTAAGAGCACTGGTTGCTCTTCCAGAGGTCCTGAGTTCAATTCTCAGCAACCAAAACCATCAGTAATGAGATCTGTTGCCCCGTTGTGGCCTGCAGGCACACATGCAAACAGAACACTGTACACAAAATAAATCTTAAAAAGCCTTCAGAGGAGCTGGAGCATGGTTGTGCAACGTGTAACCCCAGCAGAGGCACGAGGACATTTGGATGTCAGCCTGGGCTGCGTGAGATCCTATCCCCACCCCCCAAAAATAAAGGGCAGGCGAAGGTGAGATAGCTCACTGGGTAAAGGCACCAACCTGCCAGGCCGAGTTTGATACCAACGTGATGAAGGGCAAAACCCAACTTCCCCAAGTTGTCGTCTGATTGCCACACCCACACTTGGGACGTCCGCACGCGCGCATACACGAACACAGAAATATAACCAAAAAAAGAAAAATCTCAGCAGTTTACGGACCTTTTTTTCCAGAACTTTTTGTGTGTGTGTGTGTGTGTGTGTGTGTGCGCGCTTTTTCCAGACTCCACCCACCTCCATGGGCGGGGCAACGTCAAGGCCACTTCCGGGTACCCCGGAAGCTCTTGTCGCTTAGCAACCCAGTAAACCATCAATCTTTAAGGGCCAAGGCAAAGGCTATGAATTACTGAGCACCCACTACAGTTTGTGTATGGAGGCACTGAGGTCTTACTGGGATTTCTGTTCTTCCCAGCCATAAGTGGTGGCATTTCTTCCCAGTATATCTGCGGTAAGGGAACTTCCCAAATCAGTCACCTACATCATCTGACCTTCATAACAACACAATCCAGCTCAGTGAAAGGACGCCATGCTCCAAGGATTGATGCTCTCAACCCAAGGGAACTGATGCAGGGGATACATAGTTGGAAGCAAGTATTTAGCGTGTAGGTTCTTCACTCAGGAGAACAGGGAAGGAGGAACAGCAATTTAAGTTTTACCCTAAGTTCTTTATTTTCCATGGTTTATAAGCCAAAGCTTACGCGATCCTAAATCCCTGAGGGGCCAGAAGTCCCACCGCGAAAAATAGCAAACAGACCCAAGACTTGAGGAAAGTATACGGAGGGATGGGTAAATCTGATGTCCATATCTGGCGCTCAGCTGAGTTAGAAAATGCAGACGTTTTTAGCCTGGAATGTATGAGCTGAGTGAAGGAATGTTAGAAATGCTGCAGTAAGAATTCCATCGTGCCCGGGCCTCGCTGGAGCCACGCCACAGGATGTCACCAAGCACCGCTCAGAGGGTCAGCCCCCGCTCCTCAAACAGTTGCTTTAGTGCCTCTTCCAGTCGCTGGTTCGTTCCTTGAAGCCCCTTCACCACCTGGGCTGCCCACTCGAAGTATTCCTGGACTCGCTGTTCTGACCACCCTGCACAAGAGTGGACAGAAACCCGCTCCTGTGATGTCGAGGCCAGCACTGGCTTTTGCCTGTTTCCTGGAGGGCCTTCTGATGCAAGGCCATAAGACGCGCTGCTGTGGAATGACCTGAAACTTTTCCAGGACCCCGCAACTTTTCCCACTTTGTGGAAGAAAACTGTTCTAGGTTGTTTAAGGCACTAAGACCTCCGCCCGCGCTCACCCCTCCCCTCTCCCGCCCAGCTTATTTCTGTGAAATTGACCAATCTGTGTTTTTAGAAGCTGAACATTTCCCCCACTCCCACCCTCTCAGAGCTAGCAAGGGAGCATACCTTGAGGGGTGCAGCGATTCAGGTCTCTCAAATTGTATAGTTTGTCTGCCAGTTTCACCAGTTTGGCCCCTGGGCTGCTGCGGGGTGCCTGCTCCACCTGTTGCCGCTTTCTTTCCAGTTTGGGCAGAGTCTTGTCATCTGTCACTTCCTCCACTAAGCGCCGAACCTGGGCTCCGAAGTGCAGCTCTACCTCATCCAGGGTAGTGTCTGTGTCTTCTACTGTATCGTGGAGCAGGGCCGCCTGGGGAGAGGCTCCCGTTCAGTCCGGGGGCACTAGCCTACTACTAGTCAAAGGGCACCTATTCAACAGTGCCTCCAATTCCCACACCAGCCTCCTGGCAGAGAAGGGTAAAGTTACCTGTAACACCAAAATGTCAGTGATTCCCGCCTCGTGGGTTAGTATCCGGGCCACACCTGACAGGGGCAAAACAGAGGTCAGACTAGAGGAAGCCACCCTGGAGAGCCAGGCATAACCTCTCACCAGCTGGGTGACCTTGGGAAGTCCCTTACCCTCTTGGGCTGTACTTAGGGGACAATCCCATCACAGCCTCAGGTGAGGCTTGCACAGCAGAACGCACAAAAAGTGACTGACACAAAGCTTGGGACTCAGTAGGCGCTCGATGATTTGTACACCCTTTGTGTTCCCGTCCCAATCAGTCCCCACCCGCCACGCGCCGCGAGGACGGCTTCCCAACCGGCGCGCCCACCGATGGGGTGGTTGATGTAG